GCCATGCGCAGGCAGCGGCTGGCGCCATCGTCGCCCTGCTGCAGCCACGGGGCCCGGACACGCCGGCTGTGGACAGGGCTCCACGCATGGACGCGCTGGAGACGCTCACCAGCCTCTCCGCGGCCGCAGGGGCCAACTTGGCTGCGCAACGGATCCGCACCGCCGCCACGGTGCGCACGCCCTATCGTAGCCAGGCTGCTGTATACTACCCTGCTGGTCTTCTCGCCTCGCTTGACACTGGCGGCTCCGACGACTTTGCCTCGCGCTTGTCGGGCAGTGGCGTTGCTACGGGTCGTGGGGGTGTTACTCACGCTGGCCGTGCTGCTGCTGTGCCACGCCGTGGCTTTCTCGAGGACCATCGCCGTGAAGTGCGTGACGGAGTCCGTGATGTCTTTCCTCTTGGAGGTGCAGCTGATGATTTTCAGGCCGTTCATCGATGCGACGAAGTGTGCCCACAATATGGTCGTGGTGCTCGTGTCGGCGCCGTTCATGGACCTCCTGATGGCGCTCCTCCTCGCCCAGTTCCTGGGCCGCGTGGGCGAGTTTTTGGCCCGCGACCTTGGCACGGCGTTCCTCGGCCACTCCCTGGACCTCCTGGGCGCGTCTTCAAGGTTGGGCCTCAATACATTGTTCGAGATGCCGTCCCTCGTCGAGTCCCTGGGCCTCGCGGGCGTCTCTTTCGTGCTCGGCCGTGGAACGGTGCTCTTCGCCCGCTCGTCGGACCTCGAGGGCGCGTATTCAAGGCTGGGCCACCACCCAATGACACCAAATTGGCACGAGATGGTCTCAAGGTACTCAGCGGCGGCGCTGCCTCCCACGTCGAGGCCTATAGAACCGCTCTCGCTCATGGTGCGGCGGCGGAGACCACAAGCGGCGACAGCCTCTTCAGTGACATGGCGTACAAGTGGGCGTTGTGCGCTGAAGGCCTGCTGGATATTCTCTGCCGCCCTAAGCCTAGTAAGGCGGACGACGATGCGCCGACGAGTGCTGGGCCGCCTGGGACAGGATGCCTAGGCGCTGCCTCAGATGACGTCAGGTGCTCGCTTCGTCGTGACCTTTGGCCCCAGCGACCAGGGAGTGGCTTCGGTGGGCTCCCCTCGCCTGGAGGGGGGCACAGCCTGGCGGATGGCGCGAGCTGTGCCGTCCCAGGTGATGCCGCACACCTGGTCCACGGGCAGGAATCTAGAGGGAGTGGCTTCGGTAGTCCTCCTGCGTGTTGTGGGAGGCACGGCCTGGAGGATAGCACGAGC